TCATCTGCAAACAATAGCATGTGCGGTGTTCGAATTCCCTGAATGCAAGGACCCCAAATTTGATCCCATCTTGCATCCAAGTCGCGCAGGGCCCAAGCCATAAGTTTACTGAACAGTTCAGCACTATAACTCGTCCCTTGCATGACCCCCTGCTGTAGTTCCTGGCACCAATGTTCCCGTTCAACTGGAGGAGGACAACATTATTTCTTACGAGATCCCAGAGCCTAAGCGCTTCCTTGCAAGGAGCAGATTCCAAAAGAAGGTGGCCCACACTCCTGTGATGAACTGAATCAAAGGCGGCAGCAATGTCGAGCTTAACTGCAAGCAACGGGGCTTTACGTGCTTTAGAGAGAGAGAGAGAGCATCATCTGAGCACTGGTGATGCCATCGAGAACCTGACAGCCTTTCCTGGCCCCAAGCTGTGCCGTGGCAGGCTCAGGAAGTTTGTCGCGGAGCCTCACACTTAGTAGCTTCCCAAACAGTTTGCAAACCGTACTCGTGAGACAGATCGGCCTGAGCTGTGAAGGCTTGAGAGGGCGACTGATCTTGGGAAGGAAAGTGATCTTGCCTTCCTTCCATTCTTTGGGAATTTTTTCCCTGCCGTCAAGTACTCAATTAAACCAGTCAGGTAAACGGTCATGCACATCATGCCTAAGGATATGAGTCAGGACATCATACGAGATGCCATCAAGACCTGTGCTCGTGGAGCCTTTGCAAGTGTGAAGCAGCTGAAGGAGCTCCTCTTTCGTGACGGGTATGAAGGGGGCTTCACCATGTTTTTGCTGGAGGCTTTCGTTGAGGGGCTGAAGGCTGTTTGGATCTCTTGAATTAAATTTCGATGCATAAAAGTGCTTCAAGTCTCTGAGAGCTGTTTCATGTCCTCCGGCTCTTTGAATGTAACTCCCCTCGGAGAGGGATCCTGCCGCCGACCGGCGCATATGCGCAATGGCGTGCTTATCTCCTTTTCTGGCTTTGTCAAGCAAATCTTCCTTATGGGCTACTTGGGCCAATTCTCTTGCCTTCCGAATTCGTGCCATCATAGCTGCTCTTTCTTCACCAACAAGGAGTTTTCGCTGTCGAATGAGTTCCCGAATATCGGGCCCATCCTGATAGCGGAGATTGGGAGGGCGGAAACTAGATTGTTTGGCAATTGACTCGACTACACTATGATTCAGGGGGAGCGCAGCGAAGGAGGTAAGGGCTTCCTTAACTGCCTCCTCCGGGGCCATCCATTTGCCGCAACGACGAGTCACCCAAGGGTGGCGTCGGTAGAAGGGCAGCCGTGAAAAGATTGTGAGGATGAGGGCCGAGTGATCAGAAGGCAAGGCAAGTCTCAAATCATCCCGAACCGTTAACTGTGAATCCATACCTGGCGCCCGAAAGAAAAAGAAATCAATTTTCGTGCTGAGTCCTCTGGCGTGCCATGTGTTCCTGTCAGGGACAAGCAAGTCAAGGCCTGCAAGACGCATGCAAGCCCTTAGCCTCGGAACTGGGGCAAAAGTGTCGAATTCTAGGCTCAAGTCTTGGTTCACATCTGCGGCAACAACCACCCGATCCTGAATTCTCGCAGGCAGAATGAACTCCTCCAACAACTGAATTCCTGAATTCCAAGTCTCAAGACAGTTAGCCCGGTTATCATGAGGAAAGTGCAAACTAGCAAGGAACCAGTCGACTCCTTGAAGACGAAGACGAGCCAGGACCCCAAAAGGGTGAGCCCGAGTCTCCGTGGTAGAAACTGTAAGCTCGTGACGAACTGCAATGCACACACCTCTCCAGCTTTCGGGTGTGTCCAGACAGTAGGCTGTATAGGACTGCTTGCCTATGGCAAAGGGCAGGGCTTGCACTTCTTTAATTCCGTTGAGTCCTCCGACCTCCTGCAAACACAAGATGTCTGGTGGATCCACGTTTTGGTGGATGACATTATCAATGTGGGTAAGGGATTTGCCATGCAGGTTCCAATGCAGCACCGTAAGATCATGATAAGCCCGACGAGAGGCTTTCCGTTTTTTTCCCGCTTCACTTACTCGAGGGGGTTCCCTGCCAAGTTCCTATGGTCCTCCAGTTGTGCGAGCCAACGCCTCATGAAGCTGTTGGCCTGTGACTCCCAGGACCTGTGTAGCCTTAGTCACGTGGACCCACCACCCACTGTGATCGCCACGAGTGGTGGTGTGAAGGAAGGCATCCTCCGGTGGTGGAGGCCCCGAGAACCCCAGCACGTTGACCCCGTCCGCGAAGACTTTCCCGCGCCAATCGTGCTCAATGTCGGCTTGGGGCCTGAGCCCCTGCAGTGCATCCTTCGTAGACAAGATCGCTCGAAGTTTAGCCCGCTCCTCTGGACTACGGTTACGGGAAAACCACAATTTTCTGCCGTCCTGCCCTTGAATAGTAGTGACTGGCAGCTGGTCCTTAAGTGCTTGGATCACTTTAGTTTGGATTCGTCTCTTTTCACCAATCGGGCACCCAGGAGGGTAGTTTAATTCGATTCTTGCAAATGAGCTGCGAGCATAGGGCACAATGAGATCTTGTACTAGGTTAGACCCTCCAGCGGTGGCAAAAGCTTGGGACAATTCATGCTCAATGTCATGCCTTTTGGCATCCTGCCAACCTCCACAAGCAATCTGCAAGTCATCATAACGGGGGTCTGCCCGGGGCGATGGTGGGGCGGAATGTACTGTCGGTGGTCCTCCATAGCCGGCTGGCGCCGGAGAAACTGACCTGGATCTGAGTCCTCGTACTTCTTCACGAAGCTCCCTAATTTCGCGCGAGTGGTCATGAGTGAGAGCCTCGACAGCTTCAATCCTTGGAACTGCATCAGCTACCTTATGCTGGAGATGATTGATCTCCCTGAAATTGCTGTCAGCAACTTCTAAAATTTGGGTCTGCTTGTCTTTCAGTTCCTGGATGCTGCTATTAAGGGAAGGAAGCCACGCAGGTTCATCATCGATGTGAAAATGTTCGGGTTTTCTTTCCTCTGTGACTTCCGTGTGACCTCCTGCAAAAACTGGCGGTGCACTAAGGGGCCCAGGTCTACCGAATGCTGGAGAGCGGTCTTTGGGGAGCTCTTCGGCAGTAGGTTGATGCCGCCCAATGCCTTCAAGAGTGGTTTTGGCAGGCTTCGGGGAAACAACCGGTCTTGAGAATTTGCGCGGGTTCTCCCCTTTCCCCGGAAGACGGGGTGCAACAGATGTGGCGACAGTCAAATCCTCACCTGTGATCCCATTCGGACTCTGCTTACCGAATTCCGAATTCTCAGTCTGAGGCAAAACCTTTTCGAAAACACTCGTATCCGAATTCAAACCATCCGAAAATCCCTTCCCTGCATCAAATTCCGAATTCGCAACAGCATCAGTCCCATGAGTTCCCTTTCCAGCCCGGTCCTCAAGTGGCATCTTGTTGGCGTCGACACCTCTGTTCCCTGCTATGTCGACCGCCCAGGGCTGAGTCTCTCGTTGGCTAAGGGGAATGGCTTCTTCACAAGGTTCAGCGGGTTCAGCATCGGTGTTGGGCTGCATGAGTTCGTCATCGATGGTGCTATCAAACCGCTTGGTTTTCTTATGGGGACTACCCCCTTTGCCTGCCTCCGTTTCAGTAGGTCGTCCTTCGGTTTTGGCAGGTACATCCGGAGCATCTTCATCATCTGTATCAAGCATCCCTGGGGGAACAAACCTAGCGGGGAGCGGTTTCCCAAGAGCAGCATCCAAAGCAGCCTGGGCATCGGAAGTGAGCCCCGGCCCAACCCTGGCAGACAAGGCAGCAAGAGCACCGGACATAACGAACTAGCTCAGGAACCCGAGAAACCTGTGTTCTCCCTCGAGCCGAAATCTTGAGCCAAAATGGCTTGAGCCAAAATGGCTACGGTTTGGGGTTTAGGGTTACCTACACGTGACGACCGTCCGGCTGGCGCTCCTGCACATACGAACATGCAGCCACTTGAAGCCGCACCGTGAAGTAGTCCTTCTTGAACTTCAGCTTTCGCAATGCAATGCCGACCTGCGCATACTCTTGTCAACATCACACACACAAACAAACACACACACACACACAAACACACACACACACACACACACAAACACACACACACACACACACACACACAGACAGCCACACACACACACACACACACACACACACGCAGGCACACACAAACACACACACACACACACACACACACACACACACCAACACCAACACCCACCCACCCACCCACCCACCCACCCACCCACCCACCCACCCACCCCCACCCACCCACCCACCCACCCACCCACCTGCCCACTCACCCACCCACCCACCCACCCACGCCCGCCCACGCGCACGCACGCGCACGCACGCGCACGCACGCGCACGCACGCGCACGCACGCGCACACACAACCACACAAGAAAATGGGATGCATCACTGCTTCACTGTCACAGGTGCACGCGCAAACATCCAGCCTCAGTTACAGACAGACGACCATCCACAAAGGGCAACCGATTCAGCTCTTCGGTGACGTCAGCAGCCCTCACAGTGCCCTGCAGCAAGGTCGCAGCACAACATCAAGCACAACACAAGAGAGAACGATTATTACACTCGCGATCAACGACGCCGCTACTCTGCATTCGACGCCCAGCCTCCATTCGAAAGATTTGCGCATAGCCTAAGACTGCACCCGAAGTTCATACATGCAGCATAGACATCCAGGTGGAGTGACACTTAAAACGTGTCGGACTCAGGATCTCTTAGCGTTTTAACATCTGCCCGCCCAAGTCGCAGTTGTTGATAATCTGCACGACGTCCAGATGGCCCTCCTGGCAACCGAATCCAAGATGAAGCACAACAAGGGACGAATCTCCTCGAGCCTCTACTTGATCAAAGGGCACAAACTTTCCGGAGTTGTGGTAGACGATGCGGCCCTTGATGCGCTCCCAATAGATGGAGGTGCGGCCATTAGTCTCCTGCTGGATCATTCACAAGAATATCTCGTCACATCACGACTGCAGCGCGATCAGGAAAACAAACAGCTTACCGAGCATCCCTCAACCCGATACCCCTGTCCTTAATTGAGGACACGCCGAAACAATTCACCAACTCGCGGTTGGCTCTTGCTTCAGCGGCCTGCCGCTTCTTCTCATCATTGCCGTGACCGCCAGGCCCGTAGTGCTTAGCAGCCACGGCAATGTATTCGCACCTGCTGCAAACGGCGCCATTGCCACCAGACTAACTCGATAAGAGATATGCACAACGAATCAGACCTAGCATACCAAAATGCACACAGTAATTTCATGCAGTCCCGTATCTGCCGAGGCACCGAATGTTGAAGCCAGCAGACGCGAAGGCTAAGCTGGTCAATACCCAATCCTTGAAACTAAACAACTGCCAGCACCCCACAGATAGAGACGCGTGCTGCAGAAGAGATTCGCTTTTGCAAGCAAGCACCTCTTGATAGTCCAACTCTTTGGTCCTCCGACGCACCTGCACACTAAACAAAGCAACAAGAACAAGGTTTCGGAGGAACTACTGAAGGGAACTTTCTTATTGGGATGCACCTGCAGCGAATCCATAATGGTGACCAGGCTCGTCTTGAATGCCTGAGCAAAGGGAAGTTTCAAGCACCAGCTGGTTTCGACCCAACATCTGAAAGACCTTTCTCGCAAAACCTTCGTGCTGAAAAGTTGCATCTTCCGGACGACAGTTGAGGGGATTGCTGCTGATGAACCCAGCAAGGTGCCCCCCATAGGTGTACAGGCCCTTCATCATGACCTCGTGTCACAGACGGCACAGGCTTTTTAATATGCAAACAACCCCAGAATGCTCTGACCTCAATGGCGCGACGTAGATCTTCTCGCGTGCATCTAGCGTAGGTTTTCTTCCCCGGCTTCTCACCTCCCATAGATATGCTACAAGTGGGCATCACGACACCTCCCGAAACCAACTAAAAAACGAAGCCACATCACGAGCCAGCCTACAAAGGCACGGTTGACGGCCACGATATCATCGACGGCTTTGATGATGAAAGGACGCTCGTGCTTGCTGCCCAAGTCTTCGAACTCCTCGTGCTATCCAGTCGATACCCCCCAAAGATGTGAAGCATGCCTGCTTTTTCACTGATCACTACATGTTATAAATCAAGCATGTAGAATGGATCGCCCGTGTAGCCTACAAGGGCACATCCATTTCCTGCAGTCACTCACGAGACACCCGTACACTCAGTGCTGCGGTCCTCTGCGCCGATGTAAGCATCGGCAGCAGCCAGACCAGGCATAGGCTCCGCAACGACGAAGTACTCGAGCTCCGCCGTCTTCAGGAAGCTCTTGTAAGTCTTCACCTCCGCACACCAAAACATCAAGCAACGCATGTTTGGCAAGACAGAGCCGTTGCATGAATTATGCTTGTTTGATAAGAGGGTTGCGCAGACCCAGTCAACAGCCGCAGGGAAGGCATAGCTTCGGCCATGCACCTGCGACTTCGGCACCACCACGTACTTAGCGTTCTGTGGAAACAGTTCCTGCGATCAGACAACGGAGCTACAAAGAGCCTTGCATTAAGACAGTCACAATTGAGATACCATCACAGCAAACCAAACACGTTCATTGACCAGTGCTAGAACCGTCCTGCAGGATGTAGCCAGATGTGAACTCTTCCAGGCTGGCGCGGTCCTTGCAGTTTCAGCTGGTGTCGAAGCGTTGCTCTGCAGCAGAACACCATCAGCAGTCCTTCGACACGACGATGACAGGAATGGACTCAAAAGAAGGAACCATTGCGAATGGATGGCGGTCAGAAGCAAGAGCAACTCACTTCGGCAAAGCCAACAGCTGCATGTAGGCAATCACAAGTCTTACCAGAACACTTTACAAGCAGATCGAGATGCTTTCCGGAAGCTCTTTGTACAGGGTTCTGAAATCGTCTGGAAATCAAACGCTCTGATGGCCTTGCAAATATTGAGACGCGTCCCAAAGAACAGCAACCGCGCCCGCACGTGCACCGCACTCCCCCGCCCTGCTCAGATCTTGAAAAGTTCAAGGAAACCCTTCAGATGCTGGAAGGTGTAGGGAAACTCGTCAGACCTTGCAAGGTTTGAGGAACCCTGCAGGACCTGAAGGCAAACCTGTCGACTCCTGAAAGATTTGAAGAGACCCTTGAGGTCCGGAAAGGTCTGAAGAAAAACTTTCAGAACTGAAGGGTTTAGGGAAACCCTTCAGGTCCTGAACGGTTCAGGGAAACCCTTCAGATCCTGAAGGGTTTAGGACAAACCTTCAGGTCCTGAAGGGTTTAGGGAAACCCTTCAGGTCCTGAACGGTTCAGGGAAACCCTTCAGATCCTGAAGGGCTTAGGGAAACCCTTCAGATCCTGAAGGGTTTAGGACAACCCTTCAGGTCCTGAAGGGTTTAGGGAAACCCTTCAGGTCCTGAACGGTTCAGGGAAAACCCTTCGGATCCTGAAGGGCTTAGGGAAACCCTTCAGGTCCTGAACGGTTCAGGGAAACCCTTCAGATCCTGAAGGGAAAAGGACAACCCATCAGATCCTGAAAGTTTTTTGGGAAATCCTTCAGATCCGGAAGGTTTTAGGGAAATGCTATCATCCTTGCTTTTGCCTCGGCAAAGGACAACCAGGCAGTGCAACTAGCATCTTTGTTTCCGCCTTGGCAAATGAAGGCCAAAATCCGAAGTTCATGGGTGGACGTTGGCGTTACAAACTTACAGCGTCCTTGAACTCTGCAAAGTCTGTACCATACAAAGATACGGAGTTCATGGGTGGACGTTGGCGTTACAAACTTACAGCGTCCTTTCAAATTTGCAAGGTCTGTGCCATACAAGGATACGAAGTTCATGGGTGGACGTTGGCGTTACAAACTTACAGCGTCCTTGAACTTTGCAAAATCTGTTTCGTACAAAGATACGGAGTTCATGGGTGGACGTTGGCGTTACAGACTGACAGCGTCCTTGAACTTTACAAAGTGTGTACCATACGAAGATACGAAGTTCATGGGTGGTGACATGTCCACCGAGCCTCGAGCTCTATGAGCCTTCGATAGCAAACCCACCAGGTGCATTACCACAGGGCGACAGGGTGGACAGTCGCGCAGGGAGCGCGGGCAGGTCCTATGTTTCTCCTATTTTTGCTCATTTTTCTGTATTTCCGAAAAACAGGATTCCTTTTTGTTTCTTTACTTTTTTTCCTATTCTAAGCCAAATGCGATCTGACTAGAGGTAGCACAAGAGATTGACATAACACTACGGCGACATTTGCCAAGACGAATTCAAACCTTATATACCACAAGCACCTGCGAGCCATTACCATGATCTTATATACCACAAGCACCTGCGAGCCATTACCATGACATTTGCCAAGACAAAAACCTTACCACAAGCACCTGCGAGCCATTAGCGCGACATTTGCCAAGACAAAAACCTTACCACAAGCACCTGCGAGCCATCACCGCGACATTTGCCAATACAAAAACCTTACCACAAGCACCTGCGAGCCAGCCACCACCGCGACATTTGCCAAGACAAAAACCTTACCACAAGCACCTGCGAGCCATTACAGCGACATTCGCCAAAACAAAAACCTTACCACAAGCACCTGCGAGCCATTACCGCGACATTTGCCAAGACAAAAACCTTACCACAAGCACCTGCGAGCCATTACCACGACATTTGCCAAGACAAACACCTTACCACAAGCACCTGCGAGATATTAGCACGACATTTGCCAAGACAAAAACCTTACCACAAGCACCTGCGAGCCATTACCGCGACATTTGGCAAGACAAGAACCTTACCACAAGCACATGCGAGCCACTGCGGCGACATTTGCTAAGACAAAAACCTGACTACAAGCATCTGCGAGCCATTATCGCCACATTTGCCAAGACAAAAACCCGTTGCGTTCTGCTTGTAACTCGACTAGTGGTGCATTCACGTGCGTTCCTCCGCAGGATATCGATGTTGGGCCATTCTTTTGCTTGCCTTCCTGCGGGGTCAGCGACAAGCAGTCCAGTCGAGTGTATCGACGTCTCATTAGAACGTGAGGAACTCGACCTGAGTAGTGACAAGGTACTTCAACGCAGTGAGCGTCAGTTCATTCAATCGCTGAGCTGGGAACGATGAGCTTCAGACATGGCTCGGAGAGGTGCTTGTACTCATGACCATCGACCTGGCACCATTAATGTTTCCCGTTTCTGTTATTCTAGCACTGCGCGTTGCTCACTTGGAACGCAGAGGGTGAAGCGATCAGCACGATCGCGTTGGGCCAGGCGTGCTCGTGAGCATGACTCTGCGCACCTGTCATTTAGTCCACCAGAAGTGGCTATCCACAGTACGTCTTCTTTGTTTCTACTTGAATCTGAGTGTCCGACTTACGACGTGGCCTTTTTTGTTTAAAGCCACCACTCTCGCCGCTGGAACGGGTTCACGTAAGTACTCCTCGACTTTCTCACTTGGTCTTACCTGGAAGGAGTTTAGCCGTTGCTGGAACTCGCATCACTGCCATGGAGGGGACACCCTGCCTTGTACATTCCTACAAGCCCGCCCGGACAAATGATGTCCAGGGACATTGGCGGTTCTCCGGTCCTCGTCGTGTGCAGGCGCTGTGATTCGCTGCATAGAGTAGCAACAACTGGGGCTCTTGCTTTCGACATGCAGATGCGTGCAACGCCCGCTGGATGCATCTCAGGCTCTCGCGGACCATGTATTAGGGGTAAATCGAGCCATGACAGCTTCATGTCCTGTGCTGCACTGCGACTGTAGTTCTGGACGTGTTGAGGGTGTGTTGCGATTTATGCATTCTTGTTGGACAAAGATGTATCGACGATCGTGTTTGTCTCTGAAGGTGCGACTCGGGCATAAACGGGTTGCGCGAAATGGCTGGCTCACTCTCAAAGTGAAACGGGGGTGGCCGGGCCTGGAAATGGAGCCTGGAGGCCCGACATCCGACAGGGTTTCTGTTTTCCATCTGCAGAATATGTCTCGGTACGTGGCCTATCAATCTGCATATCGAACAGCGCACGTCGGGTGGCGTTACAAACTTACAGCGTCATTGAAATTTGCAAGGTCTGCACCAGACAAAGATACGAAGACCATGGGTGACGTTGGTGTTGCAAGCTTACAGCGTCATTGAAACTTGCAAAGTCTGTACCACACAACGACACGAAAATCATGGGTGGGCATTGGCTTTACAAACTTACAGCAACTTTGAAATTTGCAAGGTCTATACCATACAAAGATACGAAATTCATGGGTGGACGTTGACGTTACAAACTTACAGCGTCCTTGAAGTTCGCAAGGTCTGTACCATACAAATACGGAGTTCATGGGTGGGCGTTGGCGTTAAAAACTTACAGCGTCCTTGAAGTTTGCAAGGTCTGTACCATACAAAGATACGGAGATCATGGGTGGACGTTGGTGTTACAATCTTACGGCGTCCTTCAAACTTGCAAAGTCTGTACCATACAAAGATACGACATTCATGGGTGGACGTTGGCGTTACAAACTTACAGCGTCCTTGAAGTTTGCAAGGTCTGTACCATACAAAGATACGAAATTCATGGGTGGACCCTGGCATTACAAACTTACAGCGTGCTTGAGATTTGCAAGGTCTGTACCATACAAAGATACGAAGTTCATGGGTGGACGTTGGCGTTACAAACTTACAGCGTCCTTAAAACTTGCAAGGTCTGTACAGTACAAAGATTCGAAGTTCATGGGTGGAAGTTGGTCTTGCGAGCTTACAGCGTCCCTGAAATTTGCAAGGTCTGCACCATACAAAGATACGGAGTTCATGGGTGGACGTTGGCGTTACAAACTTCCAGCGTTCTTGGTTCTTGCAAGGCATTGCAAGGTTTGTACCATACAAAGATGCGAAGTTCATGGGTGGACGTTGGCGTTACAAACGTACAGCGTCCCTGAAATTTGCAAGGTCTGTATCGCTTCCCCATGACCTGACCGCTTTCATGGGGAAGCCACCCCACGATTGTCAAGCCTAGCTGGGCCTAGCTGAGGCAAGGAAATTTATAATTGCGGTTCGAGGCCCGGGCGAGTTGGATGTGGAATCCAACTCTACGGCCGAACATTCAGGAGCCTGAGCACCAGGTAGACGGGAGTAGGTTAGCCGTGAGGAAATGCGGAGCCCGCAGTTGCGTTATCTCCGCCGACAACAAACGCACGGCCAAGTGCAAAGCAGCGAGCAACCACAGAGCCTTGACGAGACAATGTTCTTCAACCGTCCACCAACGTACAACCCGAGTCACTGCGGCAACCAACC